ACATATATTGAGCCTATTTTATCCATTTATTTCATGATCCCTCATCATGGCCTATATTACAATCTTGAAAAATTTATTTAGATCAAGTGTAAATGCTTGAATTGAATGATTATATGTTAGGTAAATGCATGCTCATGATGAAACAATGAAATCATGCTACATTGCTCTAGAGATTAATGTGAGAAATATCAACAATGGTTGAGAGATGAGAAAAAAAAAAGAGGAAGAAAAAATTAAAAAAAAAAGAAAAAAAAGAAAAAATGAAAAATAAAAAATAAAAAATAAAAATGAAAAAAAAGATGAAAATGGGAGAAAAGGAAGACTTAAATTGAAAACCTAAAGGTGTAATTTGGGTAGAAAATCTTTGCGTTGAGCATTGGATGAACAGTTCAAATATATAGAAGATCAAAGCATCTAAAAAGTTGGGGCAAAGTTTGATGAGCTCAAAATGATTTCGATGGAATGAGTTCTTAAAACAGAATCTTGGATTAATGTTTAAAATTGTCTGAATATTCATTCTTCCCAATGACATACATCTAACTTATTTTTTTATTCATTTGCTTTTGTACCAAAACTCACTATTGATTACTTTTCTCCCAGTGCACCTTATGTTCTTTTATTCTCACATCCTTAGAATGAATCGAGAAAATATATGATTGCATTATGTTTGTCAAGAATTGAAATTATAATGAATGAATGAATGAATATGTGCTTAAAAGGTTCTTGCATTCTTTTGAAAAAAAATTCAGGATGATCGAAGGTAAAAATGATGAATAAATAGCATAAACTTGAAAAAAAAAAGACACATGGGATGGCCAAATGATGAACATGGTGATGGATTGCTCAACAAGATGAATAAAAGGCAAAAATCTAGAAAGATGATGTGATCAAGAAATGAATATGGTAATAGATTAATCGATATAACTTGTGTATTGTGATCAAATGATGATGATCAATTCATTCTAGAATAGCTAGTACTGAGAAATCTATGAATAGTGATTAAGCGATGAAAATAATATGGATCAATAGACATAATTTGTTTTGAAACAGTTACTGTTAAGAAGCTTGTGAATGGGGGTTAAGTGATGAAAATAATAGAGATCAGTGGATGAAACTCGTGAAATGTGAGATGGTGGGGTCTTGAGAATCATATTATCATAATTTCATGACATTTATTTGCATTACATGCATTATGTTTGCTTCATCGTTTGAACAGTACATATACATGATTCGATGAATATTTAAAGTTTTGTTTGGACATGCATCAGTCAACAAACATGGAAATTATGATTTAGGATATGGCATCTACATTATTGTGTGAATCCAGATTGTTGCACTTGCATCTTTGATCATGACGTATAAAATTTTAAGTCATTTAAAAAAAGAAATTATGAATCTTTTGATAAGAATCTTGATTTTTTTAAAATTGAGAATTTTTAAAAAATTTTCAAATGAGAATTTTTTAGTCTTAAATGAGAATCGTTAAGACATTTTCAAGTGAGAATCTTTGAGTTTTAAATTAAAATCTTTAAGACATTTTCAAATGAGAATCTTTGAGTGTCAAATAAGAATCTTTGAATTTTAAATGAGAAACTTTAAGTGTCAAATGAGAATATTTAATGTTAAATGAAAATTTTTGAATTTTAAATGAGAATTTTGAGATATGTCGAATGTGAATCTTTGAATTACAAATGAGAATCTTTGAAGTGTAAAACTCAAAATTTGTCAAGTGTGAATATTCGAATTTAAATGAGAATTTTTGAATTACAAATAAAAATATTTGAGGTGTGAAACCCAAAATTTATCGAATGTGAATCTTCGAATTCAAATGAAAATCTTTGAGATGTGAAACCTTAAAGTTTGTTTGGTGTGAATCTTCGAACTAATGAAAAGTTTTGAACTGTTGGATGTGAATATCTAAATTTCAAACAAAAAGCTTTGAACTCAACTTTTGGATGCGAATCTCTAAATTTTTAAATGAGAACCTTTGAACTTAGATATGAAACTCTAAGATTTTTTGGATGTGAATCTCTAAAATTCAAACGAAAAGCTTTGAACCCAATTTTTAGATGCAAATTTATAAATTTTTGAGTGAGAACCTTTGGACTTAGATGTGAAACTCTAAGATTTATTGAATGTGAACCTTCAAAATTCAAACGAAAAACTTTGAACTTTTGGGATGTGAATCTCCAAAATTTGAATGAGAAATGTTAAATGTGAGTCTTGCAATTTGCAAATACGAATCTTGAAAATATGAATTCTTGCGTACCTGAAATCTTGCAAGTTTGAATTCTTGTGAAACTAAAGTTTTAAAAATTAAATTTCAGCGAATTCTTGTGAAGCTGAAAGGTTCTTACGAATCTGTTCGAACTTAGATTGCAAATCTTTGAGTCTTCATTACAAATTTTATCGGGTCTGATCTATGACTCCTCTGCACATGATTGTTAAAGAGCAATTTATTTTTCAAAAATTATGGTGCCTGTCTAAAGGAGCTTTGTTTAATTAAAAATAAAAAAAAATGTCAAGTTGAGTCTTGTTTGGGTGTCTACGTCTTTTCACAGTTTCTGTTTCATAGAAAATGTGCAAAGTGAAGCATTTATAAATACCTTAATTGGTTCGGGTCCAAGCGTATTTGGGCCTTGTTCAGTTGGTCAGGGCTCAAGTCCATTGGGCTTGGCTCAATAGGGCCCAAGTTATCAGGCCCAATTGGCCATTCTTTTATTTTTATTTTATTATCTTCTAGTTTTATTTTTGGGCTGATCTTTGATTTTTTTTATTTATTTGATTTATCTGTTTTTTTGAATTTATCATTGGTTTTGAGGGGATAAAAAAATTAAAAATTTACTGTGAATGGATAGTGGCAGAGTTAAAGTTCGTTTCAATTTCTATTAGATAAATTTGGTGTTATTGTGGTATTCTGGAAGTTTGGTCAGTAATGGATTCCTAGAACACTACTTCTAGGCTTTATAAAATCACACGAAACAGAAGAAAATAGAAGCAAAAAAAGGATTCTAGAATATAAAAAATAGTTTTATATTTTTTAGAAATTTTTTGAATTTTTGGTTTTTTTTTTTTTTGAAAAATTTTTGAAAAAATTTCAGAATCCGATTAATTTTTCGATGAATTTTTCAATCAACTTTGAATTTTTTGATGAGAGTTTCCAGTTTTCCAGCCTATTTTTTCAGATTTTGATAAAACATTCAACCGAAATCTAGATTTTTTTTAGAGAGAATGAGGAGAAAAAAAAAGGAAGAGATAGAAAGGGAAGGAAAATTTGAAGGAATATCGAGTTTCAGCCTTTTATACCCTTGCAAAATGACGTCGTTTTAGCCTTAATAAGTCCCCAGGATCCGCGCATTTTTGCTTGTGCCAACTCAACCCAATCACGACCGATTCGCTAACCCGCGTGCAAGCTAATCCTTGGAGCCGAGCCAAGCTACATCTTCCAAGTTGAGGCCATGAGCCATTTTCTGTTTCTGTAGCCAAGCCGTTTCAAATTCTCAGTCGAGCCGCCTTCAGATTTTTTTAGCATTTTTTATTATTTTATTTAAATATTTTATTTATGTATTTTTTTCCTTTAGTATTTTTTTTCTTTTCTATTAAATTAAATAAAAAATAATAAAAATAAAATTTTGAGAATAAATATTAATTATCCAATGATGAAATTTATAGAAATTTTAAATGATAAATTTCTATAAAATTTTAGGTGTAAAATTCTGTCTAAATTTGATCCAAATTGTGGAATAATTTAATTAAAGTTTCAATAAAATAATTAATGTTTATTTTCAAACCAAAAAAATAAAAAAATAATTTTTTTTTCAAAAAGTATTTTTGAGGAAAAGTTGAAAATATTAATTTTTCTTAAAAATAAAATTTTCAAAAATATATATTTAAGGAGAAGTTGAAAGTATCAATTTTCTTTGAAATTAAAATTTGAAGAAAAAATATTTTTAAGGTTGAAAGTATCAATTTTTCTTGTATAAAAGCATGATTTTTTTTTTACAAAAAAAAAGGGATCTATATTAATCATTATTCTTTACTCATTTTGCCATTTTCTTTTCTTGGAAATCTTGTTTAATGTTAAATAATTTGACGACAGAGCTTCTGCAAGAAAAATAATAGTTTTCTTGTACACTTTTGAGGTGTGAAAATTTTCTTAATTTTTTGTTAAAAGTATTGGAGTAAATTAAGAACAATTTTCGATAATTAATTACTTGGTAAGATTTTTAAGGTTTAATAGATAACACGAAAATTAAGTTGGTATCATCTTCTGATGGGCGTTGTAAAGATTCTATAATCTTTCTCACACGTAATCGTACTCTCAAATCTTATTCTGGTTAGTAGACTCAAACCTATTTCCTTAGAAACCCTTTGTCAAGCTTAAGAACTCCTTAAAGGAATAGATTCATAAGGTGATCAATCACACCTAGTTAAAAAAAATTGGTGACAACTCTTCAAGTCAATATTTAGTGATAGATCTATAAATCTAAACGTGAGAGTATGTATTTTGTATTAGATTTAATGAAAACTTCAAGCTGGAAAGGGAAGAGTTTATGACAATTTATTTTCATATGGAAATGTTCTAAGAATTGCAATAATATATAAATTAAAAACTTAAAATTCATATTTATAAAGTGTTTTTTTATGAAATAAAATTATAAAACTTTTATATCAGAATAAATAATATATTACAGATCCATACAATCATGAGTAAGACTTGCTCAATCGGTTAAAAGAGAGGTCAGAGTGGAGTAACTAGAGTTTAAGCAAAATATAGGTCAGTTTAGTCAAGGCTTCACTCATGTCAAACAAAAATACTAGACAAATTGAAGTAAAGAATATCAAGGACCTTAGCCAGAATCATAAATTTCATACAAATTGAACCACCTTGTCAAGAAATAGCTTCATTATTGCACAGTTCAAGATTTCTCTTCCAAACAACAATGAACAAAATAGCAATTATACTGACAACAAGAAAGAAGGTAGAACATGAGCTCCCTCAAAGGATCCAAAGAGAAAAAAAAAAAAAAAAAAAGAGCTACCCTTTTCCAAAGAGTTTGGATCACTTAACATGTATGTGAATACCAATTGCAATGATCAAGATAGTGATTATGCAGAAGAATAGCACGGCGTGAACCAGGATGGCTATCCCACTTGTGCACATGTTACCAAATTCAATCACTCTAGTCCTCGATGGTAGCTGGAACAGCAACCCTGGTGACAAGAGGATGAACAAAGCCACTGCAACAATGACCGGTCCCCAATCTGCACTCATTTTTCTCTTTCTTTCTTTCTTTCTTTCTTTCTTCTCTAATTCACTCTGGAAACGAAGATTTTGAATGTTTGAGAACTTCTCTTCCGATGCAAATTCGAAAAAGAAGAGGTTTACATTCTATTAAGTAGGAGTCGGGAATGGAACCAATTTTCTTGGGGGCGAAGGAGGGGGATGATGCTAAACTTAAGAGAGAAAGAAGAGATTGAGTTTAAAGGGGAGGTAAGGTATGTAAATGTTAGTGGGTTTGCTTTATTGAGAACGAAACAAAGTTCTTTTCTTCCATCAGCTTATAATAATTGTTTCATTTCAAGGCTTCTTTTAGCTTGCTTTATTGCTTTATTAAAGATATAATAAAAGAAAAAAATGGAAAAGCAGCTGCATGTGTAAAGTTGAGCCTTTGCTTGGAAATCTTGTTTGCTTGTGACTTAATGTGTGTGGGATGTAAAAGGGAATGTGGGTTAAGAAATTTCAAAGGCTAAGGAAACTGATACAGGGAGACAATTTGGTAAAGGAGGATTTTGAAGGACAATTGCCTCGGTCATCAGTTCATCATTCTTGAATATCAGTTATTTATCTATTAACTATTTTACATGCAACTGAAATTGAATGATTCTGACCCGCATGATTCTATTTAAAAAAACACAACCAGAGACTGAATTACTTGGAGTTGTTGTGTCTATTAGTCAGGAATGAATAACTAAAGATAGATGTTAAACATAACTAGAATCTTGTGCCTGACAATAACCCTGCCATTGATTGCGGATCTTGCCATAGATGATGTAGTCATTAGGACAGAACCCCCAAGGATTGAGAAATAACATGACTATATTTGAAAAGGCAGTGGTATGCCTGCAAGATAAAAGTGAAAATTTTAAAAAACTAAACATGTCCTGTATAAGAAAAGCACTTACTTCCCAGTATGACTTATAGAGGCTATTTGTCTGTAAATAATGCTTGTAAATTGTATTGGTAGACTTACATAGGAAGCCAAGAAGCATTGAAAACTCGAAGTACCTAATCAATCACTCTATATATAATTCCAGTGCTATTCCAAAGTTAGCTCCTAGCAACCTTGGTCCCTACCCATGGCAGTGTGAGTAAACAATGTTTTGTTTTATAGAAAAAAAAAAAAATCTGGTGAGGAAGGAGTCGTTTTCTCGGCTGTGGGTTCTGTCCTTGTAGAAAACATTTCAGCCATTACAATTGCTGTCACTGGCTCCAGGGGCTACATTGAGCCCAAACCTTAAATTATGGTTACTCAACGACCTTTTTCCAATTAATTAGTACTAATTGACAACAATTTGGTCTTCAACTAACTTCCAGCACAGAGCAGGCACAACAGGGCAATTAGAAACCAGCAATGGATCATGATCCATTGGTAAACTATTAGAATCTTAATTTTAGTGATCAACATTTATATACTAAAGCCCAAGTATTAAGAAAAAACACACAGAATACAAAAGCCTTTAGTAGAACTGCCCTCAGAAATTGGTATTTTAACCCAATCAAACAAATGTAAATTGAGGGGTTTCTAATGTTCAGAGTAGAGGCAAAATGTCGAGCATTAACTGAAAACAGGAGTATATTTTTCTTAGCTAAAAAGGCAGGAGAATACACTGTCAAGTTTCAACAAAGGAACATTAACAACCAGCCAAGTTATCCTTCTAGAATCTAGCTTTTCAACTTTCCAGGCTTCAAATATCAGGAAACTTTGCTTTTTTTTTTTTTTTTTTTTGGGTATTTGAAGCTGCATAGAACCAGATCATTATAACTTATAGTCTAGCATTCCACCAGCAGTCAAGACAAAACTGTGCTAGCTTCATGAGAGCCTCCAAGCTGGAAAACATACATGTTATTTCCAAACAAGAAAACCCATTAAGCAATTATAAAAAAAAAATAAAAATAAAAAACGATTTTCATTCGTAAACAGAAAATTTGAAAGAATTTATGATGTACACTTACAAGGAACATCCTTGGAAGCAACGAACGACCTCCAAAGCTCAGACAAACTTGAAACGACACCAACAAAGTGCAAAACGACGACCAAACCAATGACCCAAGGCATTAAAACGAAGCCAATGACAAAAGTAACAGAACCAACCAGCATTAAAGCCAAGGAGATCCCAAGAAACAAACAAACAAAGGCTTTAGGAGAAACCTGGGAGAAGCTCCCGTGCATATGGTGCCTGGAAGAAGAAGAAGAAGCGTCACGTGAGGTCGGGATTGGAATGGGAAGAAGAGGAGGAGATTTCAGAATTTGGATTATCATTGAACATACTTCATAGCTCTTGATTGCTGCTCTCCTGCTGTCATATTTTTCAGTTTTTCTTTATGTTTTTTTTTTTTTTTGTCTTTTTTTGGTTGGGTACAACTTACAAAGGTTCGATCCCAAAGTTTTGGAACATGATATGCCTTGTCGTTTCTGTTTTCAAGACATTCATACCCTACTTATGTTTTATTGGTGAAATGGAGGAGAAAAGATAAACTTCATAGACTACATAAAAATTTTTACGAAAAAAAAAAATTGTACTCATCCTTTTTTTTGTAAATTTTCTTTTTAAAAAAATAAGGTACACTCGTACTAATTTTAATTAATTAATTAATTACTTTAACGATGTTTCAAATTCTTGTTGGTTTTAAGAAATGAACATTATAATATAATCAAGAACACACAACACATATATAACAGTTTTGTCAGTGGAAAGGTTTAACTCAAAAGACTTTTCCTCCACTAGGCAGAAAAAGCATTTCCCTCTTTCTTGAGCGGTGATTTACTGCCATTATTTAATCAGCAGTTTTATTGACCGGTTGTTGGGAGGTGGATGAAGGGGCCGTAGACATACATATATTATATATAAATTTACTACATAATAATTCCATCGCTAGGACAAATGAAGCAAGCCCTTTTGAAGGGGAGGTTTGTAGCTGTTAGAATAAGGATACTGGTTTGCGTTTTCGCCATTGTCCATGTCTATTCTTGCTGCAATCTGGAGTTTTTGACAGAAACCATACCCAGTTCATTCAGATGATCAAATTAATGAGATACCTAAGTTTTTGTAAACTCTATACTCCCCCTATTCTTGCTTATATAATTACCTTCTTTTCCATTGCTTTCTTGCCTCAGTTGTTTCTCCTGTTCAATATTACACCAGATAAGTCGGTAGAAAAACAACAGATATATAACTAAAAGCAACAATGTTCAACAACTGCTAATGCCTAGTTATAATTTGTTAGGAATTACCATGATTAATTATTCTTCCTTTACGATACTAGCAGGCTGAATAGTAGCAGCAAGCCCCAACTAATTAACCACGCGAGAGCTGATATGAAATACATCCATATTCATATAGTACCGGCTTTAAGAACTTTCAGCACATGAAAAAACTCTACCTTGACTTTCCACAATATGTATATGCCGTCTATCACCAAAAGACTGGCAGAAATAAAAGGCCCTAGTTAATGAGTTAGAGACCTTATTTGCTACTAACTAATAATGCAACCAGGGCTGAAAAATGGATAATTCTTGATATAGATAAGAGCAACTAACTATATATAGAGTATAAGCTATTTGATAGAACTATTGAAATACCATTGGGGACATTTGGACTGGTTTTATAATGCATTTAGGGTGTGTATGGGACACAAACGCAATCCAAATCACCTTTAGGTCTTTCTTAAAAACCCTTTATATCTCAAATGCAATTCAAAATCAAAGCAACTAGCTTGATACTCGTGTGATACACGAATTATTTTTATTTTATTTAAATTTAAATAAAAATAAAAATTAATATTATTAAATTATTAATATGTTCAAAATATATAAAATATAAATATTATAATTAAATTATCAAATCATAATATAAATAAAAATTTTAATTAACAAATTAATAAACTTTAAAATATATGATAAATAATATTGGAGGAAGAAAAAATATCCGAAAGATATTGTCAAGAAGATGGGAGAAGTCTGCTTGTTTATGAGTTCATGCACAATGGAACTCTTAGAGAACATCTGTATGGTAAGTTCAAATGTTTTTAGGTTAAAAGCAATATAAATTGAGTGCTCACCCTTGTAAATTACGGTAGGCCCTTTAATGCGGGAACATGGTAGCGGTTGGATAAAACGCCTTGAGATTGCTGAAGATGCGGCAAAAGGCATTTAAGCTATGGGATAAATTTGTGATTTCTCTGTGTTGAGGTTTCTTGCTCCGTTCAAGTACTGGAGGTTTGATTCTTGTAGTTTTTAGGTCTTTTAGTGGTCATTTTTTCACAGCAAAGCCACAGTCTCTATTTGTTACTCATTATAACGACAATGATTTTAAGATACTTGAATTTTAAGACTTCAGAATGATTTAAGGTTGGTTATCAATTTTGATCTGATTTGTGTTTAGTTAAAATTTGATAAAAATAAATCAGATAAAATCAGCTATGTTATCTAGATTATACAGTTGAAATTTCAATTAAAATTTTGTTTCATAAGAAACATCTTTTAAAAGACATAATGGAATTGACATAATGAAATTTTAAGCTCAGAGAGAAAGATGTACTGATGATTTTTTTGTAACTTTTGTAGTTGTTGTCTCAAAATTGCAACCTCTCTTTGCTAGAACTGTCAAGCAAATAATAAATATTAGTTTATTTAGAACATAAGAAATACAATAGAAATACGAAAGCATGTGAGAAGAAAACATAAATTCACCTGGAATTGAAGAGCAATAAAAAAGTAATGTTAAAATCTCTGAGAAAATGGAGTATTGTTCGAAAAATAAATTGAATGGAAAGGAAATAAAAATTCAAGCTATATAATAAATAGATTTTATTTAAATAATAAATATATCTATAAATTATATTTAATCAGATAATTATATTTATATTTTAACATTTTATATCTTTATTTGATAATTTTTTTTTTTTATGTTTTATATCTTGATACCTTTATCTGATATTATGTTAGTCATTATCATATACAACTATTTAAAAATAATAAGTTAAAATACTCACACTTATCTTGTTTTCTTTAGGCATTTTTTTATGACAAACAAAAAATTCCTTACGTAAACACAAGTTTCATACTTTGCCCACTATTTCTATTTTTTTTATCCAGCAAAGCATATACAAATACATATATATATATATATATATCTTTATACTTATCAAATATAAATACGTATCAAGGTTGGTCTATTTTTGAAATATTAATTTTTTTTTTTTTTTTTTTGGCATAATGAAACATATAAAATATCTTTTGGTGGGTACATGCATGAGAAAAACATATATAATACATATTTAGATTAATTGTCTCCAAATTTAGATGCATTAATATTTCACAATTTAATT